CAAAGATTAACTTTGGAGACCGGTTCGGTTGCGCCGAAGATTGGTGCCACTATGAGCTTCTTACGCCAGGTGTGGGTGGTTTGGAATCAGGGTTTAGCCAACTCCCCTAGACTGACTACCAGTGGTCAGTCAACCCGGTGGAAAGCGCCAGACGTTCGCCTTTGCCCTCCCACTTTATTGTTAACACCTCCGCCACTAGAAGGCAGTGGGTAGGACTTTCTCAGCAGAAGCCATTTGTGGCGCTTGGTCCTTTGGGAGCATTTCTAGAGGAGTTCGGGACGAATGCCCATTTCGGTGCCCGAGACACCCACTCCCGACCACACTGAGGCATTTGGAGGCCGAGTATATGCTGCGGCAGCTCGGCCAGTGCCACTTTACGGTGCAGAGACTTGGCCATTACGGGAACAGGACAATAATAGATTGCCGGTGTTCAAACACCCCTGTCTACGTCGCATTGCACGGGTTTGGTGGGAAACCGGACGAGCAATGCTGATGTTAGGCGTACAGTTTTAGACAGTCGCGGTCGTCCACTGGAGCAAGTGCCCGACCTCCATAGATTACGTTCGTTGGGGCATGTTTTACGCATGTCACCAAATAGGTTGCCACGGCGAGTGATGTTTGCCGAGGCAGGTAGCAGGAATCTGGATCACCTAGGCCTTGTTAAGCTCCCTGGCTGGTGACCCCGAGATGATGGTCACCGATGGTTGGAGACGCCGAGTGATATTGCTGGGTGTCGCAAACAGTGGCGCTCGTACATTCACTCATTATCTCCTAACACCACTTTATGTGAATTCTCCATCTGCCGCTTGAATTTGCTTTCAACATTCCAATCTTCATTCTGTTCTTTTACCCAAATGGGGCACCAAAAGACAGCAACCAAAACCGGTGCACGAAAATGCATGGTTAATGTTTGTAAAAACTGATTCAAATCAACTTTTACCCATTCGTCTACAGATTCTTGTCACAACAACTGTAGTTTGATGTCATTTTATTGGTACTTAAAATGCATGTGACTCCGAAAGTTTTGAATAAAACAAAACGATGCCTTTGAACGACGCTTAGCTTGTTTGTACAACGGGCTCTACAGGGCATTGCTCCCCGTATATCCGAGCTTTGATACTGATAAAGCTAATCACGTAATAAAAAAAATTAGATACTGTAAAGTGAATCACTATTTGCTTAGGAAATTTGTGTTGTGACCGCATCACAGGCACCTTGACTGGTGACGAAGCGTTTGCAGTCAGATCACTCTGCTCGATAAACAGACGGACGTGAATTCGGTCAACTCGGGCTACCTGTTTCGCATGTCTGACAGTCGTCTGCAGTACTGCACCCTGTTTACAGCTGCTTCTCTAGGTCTGAGGAAATTACGTGGAGGTCAGCAGATGCTCTGAAGGTGTGGTATGGAGATTTGGTATAGCAGACAAATTTTGCCGTCCGGGATGGGTTATGATATATTTAACCTGATTTGTCGGTGATACTAAGGGACGTGACAGCGAAAAGACAACCGTATCGTTCTCCTTGTCATTTCTTCTTGGACCAGAGTGTTTGAAAATGTGTGCATACACTATAATACCATGTACTTTGTGTTGTACATTGTGAATGTTCGAGTCCGAATCTCTTTTGAAATATACCTTAACTGGGAGAATGTATAAGCTAGTCACAAAGAGTAGCAGTTTTTTTATCGAAGATTGTGTAAATAGTTTTCTTTGTTGATGAGGGTCACTTGCTTTATTGTCCGACTGCCGCTGACCTCCTCATTTCTGTTTCAGTTGGCCTGTTACTGGAGGCGGAAGTTATGTAGCACTGAGAACTTATAGCTATTGCGTCCCTTCAAAGTTCTGAGGCTGCTTGGTGCTAAGTTGTGATGCAAACCAAGTTCAGATGGATTCAATGCAAGTCAAATTAACACGGGTCATCACTGTGATTGACAAAGTCTATTTCACTTTCTTTTGTTCCAACCTTGAAGCTGATCTACAAAAGCACTATAAACTGCTGACCCTAGTAAAACAACTCAGGTGCAGTAGTTTGCACACTGTATCCAGAGTCGTTTCACATCTATATACATTCGTACCGCAGTTTGGATAATCGGTCCAGAGACTTTTGACCAACGATATTGATTATTGGTTTTGTAGCTCATGCAATGCAATTTAGCTTTATGACACTCTTGTGTGATGAACAGCAGATGGGCTAAACTCCATAATCGATGATGAAAACCGATAACCCAAGACCTGGAGTGGCGAACCATATAAGACCCCACTAGGCTAGACGTAGTATTGAGCCGGACAACAGAAAAGCTGTCTAACACCAAAGTTGAGTGGTGGCGATGGGGTTTCAAACCTCGGACCCTAGGGTACAAAGCACGTTATTTACAGCGAATAAAACACTACGCCAATCAAAGTAGATAGCTTCAGAAAACAATGGTCAATAAGGTCATAATAATAGCAATAGTAAGAAAGGTGAGAATGGTTTGTCTAACTCCCTTTGGGTATCAAACATTTTCTCCCTCTCGCTCATCTGTTCAGTGTTCTTGAATGTAAACAATTTTGTCTTTGGTTGATTTTCCTGTCCGTGTGAACACTCATCTTAACTGCCGTACGTGTGTTGATACATGCCGTTAAATGTCTCAGGGTTATTTATGTTTTTATTGTTCTTGTCCAAAGTTGTGACAAGAAAATATCAAGGTTATAACAATATTTTACACATTCCGTGATGCGATTTATCGAGTAATACTCTTGTTTAATTCTCTCATTTTATTCCCCTGTGTGAATACCAGAGCTGTTCCTTGAATGTAATAAATATCTAATGGGATTGTTAAAAAATGTGTACAATATCTTGGTTGACTGGAAGTTCCGTGTCTAATGCACATCATGCCATTTCGTGGGAAGTATCTCGCCTTATTTTTCGCCCCATACACACTTCACACATGCAGAAGATACGACTGTCCGAGCCCGACTCACCGAATGTCTAGACACTATTCTGAAAAAGGTTCAAGAGCCGCCAAAATCTAAAAAAGTGCAACACCCGAATGCAAAGAATGCCGTCCTGTTCGAGGCCATTAACTTGATCATTCATATGGATTGTGATTCGAAATTACTTGTTCGTGCCTGTAATCAGTTGGGCCAATTCCTACAACATAAGGAAACCAATCTGCGCTATTTGGCTCTGGAATCTCTCTGCCTGTTAGCAACCAGTGAATTCAGTCACGAAGCAGTCAAGAAGCATCAGGAAACTATTGTGAACGCACTCAAAGTAAGCGCTTTTTCTTCTGGACACCCATGCATGGATCTCACCGTGAATAACTCATCTGTGCTCTTCCAGTTGTGGCCTGATCCATCAAATTTTTTCACTGTCGCTTTTGCAATCAATAATCTGTGGACTGGACTCAATAGATCTGACTATGACCGCATTCCTGAGCATCGTTATTAACATCCTGTTGGTGTGTATGTGCGTATGTATTTGACCAGGGAAACTACTCCAAATTTCAACACTTATTTACCACCAGTTCTAGTGCATATTTGGTGCCCGGCACCATACGGGCTAAAACTTCTTGAGCTAGAGTCCGGCTGGTGTTTGCATTTACAACCCTAAATTTTCTCATATTCCAATAGACCATACTCTGAACTGCGTTCTTGTGGCTTGGCCAGGGGGATTGTCTCCTAGTTGTACAACACCTGTACTGTTGTGGGTCAACGGTCAGGCGTTGCTTGATTTCCTAGTCGCGTGCGCTAAACAAACCGGATATGCTTCGACATTTCGATCAGTGAAATGGAATAGAATCCATTTGCTCCTTACACTACTTCTGTGCAGTTCAAATCTGGTGTATTATTTAATTGTGCTACCTTTGTTTATCATTGTGGACAACTTGTGCGCACACTCGATGAGGGATAACGGCCAGCGTTTTAACTTCGCCTACTTTCCAAGACTCCTGACCAAGATATAAGGACATAGAAACTTCAGATCTGCCAAACAACAATTTGAACAAATAACCTTGCCTTAGAAGTTCTTTCGGTGAGCTCCGATGAATTCTAAGGAAAACCCGCCAGGACAGTCAGCGTACATGCTGACTGGTGGATGTCATACGCCTATGTAAGTTGGATGAGTAATTCGAATGTGAAAAGATCAATGCTATCGGTATGGCATCGTAGCTCAACTGGTAGAGCGTTCGCTGTACAAAAGCGTAGGCGGCATCTGCGCGTGGGTTCGAATCCCACCGAAGCTACTGAACTTTTCACAATTTCGACGTATAAGGAAATTGGAAGCATGGTTTTCCCGTAACGAATTTGAATGAAGAAGCCAAACACACAGGTTTGCACAATGTATATTGGATCATTTCGCTGCATCTGTACACGTGCATACTGCAGTCTATGCGATCATTAATATATGGTCAGTAAATAACAGAATCATAGGCGGAGAAAGATTGCGGTCAAAATTACTCAGCAAACACATTTGTCACCAAGGTAGCGCCAGAGTGATAAGC